TTTTTTTTAATTTTGTTTATTAAATGTTTACTAATATTTATTAGTAATTTTATTAATACTACTTTATTTTTTTGGTTAAATTAAGATTGTTTTGTTTATTAAATGTTCACTGATATCTTTTAGTAGTATATATATTTTTTTTTGTTACAAACCCTTTATGTAAGTTGAATGCCTTACCTTCCTTGTCGTTTAAGTGAACTTAAACTCAAATATTAGAACTATATGGATGGTAATCTAACTAACCCATAAATATGATGAAGGTCTATAAGGTCTAAATACATAGGAGCACATATATGAGTCATAAAAGAATCATCTACACTTAAATAGATCCAAAGTGATTAATAGAAGTGTAACAGGTGTAAAACAATTCTAAGGGTTTATAAATACCCTCGCACCCCTAAAATGGGTAAAAGCCTACTTTTAGTCCCTCACCTTATACTATAATACTTTTAACCCCTCACCTATTAAAATTGAAGAAAATAACTTTGACTTTGTAACATTTGATAGTTTTGTTAGCTGACTGTTAGTTAACTGTTAATTGTCAAAAACATTCTTTTAGTTAACAGAATTAACAAAACTAACTTTATAATGTTTCGTTAATTCTGTTAATTGGCTATTAGTTGACTGTTAGTTGATAAAAATTTACTTCCAACTAACAGAGTTAACAATCAATATAAAGTGAGGGTTATTTTTTTCGATTTTAATAGGTGAGTGGTTAAAACCTACAAATCTAGTAAGGTTAGGAGGTAAAAATGTCATAATATAAGGTAAGGGACTAAAACCTTCAAATTTGGTAAGGTGAGGGGCTCAAAGTATGTTTTTTCCTAAAAAATAAAGGACTTTTCTTAAACACTTCCCTATCTATTGTACTCCTCTCTCTAAAAAAAAACCTTAAATATAAAATATTATTAATTTGGGTATTGAAATGACTACATTAGACACAACCCTTGGGTTTGTTTTAGAAGCCCCCTTGCTAGTGAACTCATGGTCAACCTAACAACGCTAGAGCTTGTGAAGTTGCCCAAACAAGAACCAATGCATTTAATGGATAATTATTAAAAAAAAAAAAAAAAAAAAACAACAACAACAAGGATCTAGACAAGAGAGTGCTTGAGACATTCTTTCTCACACTTTCTTTCTTTTCGATCTCTCTCTAATTAGGTCAAGCAGCATAGGTTAATGGAATTTGTAATTTTAAATTATTAACTTTAACTTGTAAAAATATATGAGTAGAGTTATTGTCACACTCTCAAATAAATGTAACATTACTTATTGAAGTGTGACAATAATACCACTAGGAACATGATAATGTGTATAAGAAAACTTATGTGAGTAATAATCAATTACATAAATATTACTCCCATAAAATATTACTTAAATATATCAACCTAACTATAATATAAAGTTAAAAAAAAAAAGTAAAAATAAAGACATCTTAATATTAAAATTATCAAGACATTCAATTACAATAATCATTTAAGTGGGATCTCACTTAAATGATGATTGTACCCCACTTAAATGAAGAATAATGAACGTCTTAACATCATGTTCTAATATTCCCCCATCCTTAATATAAAAAGTGCCAAAAGAAATTGTGTAAATATTACAAGTGATGGCCGGCATTTGATTCTACATCATCTTCTTGATAAAATTAGATGATTTATTAAGAATGTTTTTATGACTTAATGGTTACTTTGTCCTTATAAATAATTTCTCAAATTAAACTTGGAGGTATGGAATTTAAATCCCATTCCCAACGTTAAAAAAAAAATGAAAAAAGAAAAGAGAAGATGATCTATCTTTAGTATCACATCCCTGATCCCATTTATATTTCCCAAATAAAACAATATTACAAACTTGTCATGACATGTTTCTAAATTCAAAAAAGAAAAAAATACTGAAAAAGGAAAATGATTTCATGCAAGCTTAAAGCATTTAGGATTTGAATTCCTGAAATATATTTCAAGAAGCAAAGACAAATAGACTGGCTTTCTATCGTGTTCAAACAAAGCTCATGAATCATAACATCCTAAACAACCAAAAAAACCATAACAAAACAAATTCAAATGCATTCAAAACCCCCAAGAAAAACCCAAATTGGGGACTGAAAGTTTAGGGAAAAAAGAAATATGAAAATCCATTATAATCCTTCTTCAGCCATGAGAATTAACTGCTTCCCACAACAAATTCTTGGGGACAGGATTGGTCAGGTCACGAGCCTGCAGGGCAGCCGTTCTCAGAGTCCTAATGGTCCATTGATTAGCCTCAAAGAATGACAAACTCCGGTATGGTAAATTGTGCTTCTTGCACAGATCCCTCACCAATGGGGAAATCTTCCTCAGTTGACACCTTGGCAACCGCGGAAACAGGTGGTGCTCCAACTGGAACTGTAGGCCGCCGAAGAACCAATCCATCCAGGATGAACAGGAGATGTCCAATGTCCCACTTGTTTGTTTCTCAAACCAATTGTTACCCTCGGGAGGTCCAATGTATACATTGGCGGAGAAATGATTCAAGCAGAACTGAACATGTTGGATGGATGTAACAGCAAAGCTTGTGAGGACAAACATGATTCTCTGTTCCCAATTTGGGAGGTAGGAAACCAGGAGAGGGAACCATGTCCAGAAGACAAGGATTCCCATGATGTTGAGAGCTCTGTGCGGGACTCTTCTGTTCGGATTGAAGAGCAACAAGAATGTCTGCAAGAACAGGTTTACCCTGGCAACGCACATTACAGGATAAAATGTCCAATGCTGGTAACTGATAAAGAACCTAGCCAAAGAATCGAATTTCAACTTTCTTTCATAGAAGTAGGATGTTATGGAATTGAATAAATGCGAAGAAACTGCAAACATTGGGATGTGTTGGAGATCAGGGTCGTGATCGAGGCTGTTGCAGGCGATGTGGTGTTGATTGTGGGTCCATTTCCACCAGGCGATGCTGATTCCGGTTACACAGTTACCGGCGAGGAGCTGCGCGATCTTGTTATACCCACTCGTCGTCATCACCTGGTAATGGCCGGAATCGTGCCCGACGTATGTGCTCTGCATCCAGAGCATACCCAACACCATCGCCGACCCCAAATGCGACCAAACGCTCTCGCATCTCAAAACACCGTAAAGAACAATCAGAAACATGACGGAAACGGAAAACAGAGACCAAAACGCGATATGTCCTTTCTTTTCGAACAAACCCGATTTAGCGAATTCAGAAACGAGCCGCCGGTAATCCCTGGATACATCGGAGACGGAAAAATCTTTCAGATAATACCCAGTAAAGAATTCGTCGAGATATTGCCACGCGGTGCCGGGATGATAGGCGATGAAGGCGTCGGTAACATCCTGACCCGCCAAACTCAATAGCGGACCATCCCCACCCGGATGCTTGTTAACCCAACTGGAGACATCGTAAACCTTACCCTGGATAGAGATCCACAGATCTCCGAGCTCGTCATGCTGTTTGAGCTCATCGGAGCTAATGTACTTCTTCTCTCCCTCCATTAAAACAACCGTATGGCTGCCGGAAAATCGGAGGAGATACAAAAAGGATTCGTAGAGAGAACGATCCCAAATACAATAACAAATCAGACCAAGAAAACGCAACCCATAAAAAGGGATTTCGATTTGATTTAGAACTGTGTGTTGACCTTTGGTTAAATCCCCAATTTAGTCCCTCTACTTTGATCCAAAGCCCTTTTTTAATCTCTTTACTTAAAATAATCCATTTTTGGTCCCTAAAGTTGAAACCTGACTCCCTTTTAATTCTTTCGTTAAGTTTTGCATAATTGACATGTTATGTAACGAAAATTTCAAAGTATATGAAACAAAAAGATATTAAGAATAACTCTAATTTAATCTCTCTACTTAAAAAAAAAGCTCTTTTTTGTCTTTTTTTTTTTTTAATTTTTTTCATTTAATATTAAAACTTAATGGAGAGACTAAAAAAATGTCATATTTCAAATTTTAGGGATTAAAAATAAAATTTTTTAAGTAAAAAGACTAAAAAAGATATTTTTACCAAAGAAGCCAAATTAGAGTTTTAACCTTCACCTTTTCATGCCCAAATGTTATTCTGCTTTTCCCATAATCCTAGGAGATTACTATAATAAAACCCAAAATGGTGTAGGAGATTAGTTTCTGTCCTTAACAAACTACTAGTAAGAACTGGTAAGAATCTGCTAAGATTGACGTTAATTTCGACATTAAGAGGTTGCTAGACGTTGCCGACGGGTCTGATTGGTGGAGAATGGGTCCCGCAATAGTAACGGTAGTGCTGTGAAAACGTACATAGTCAGTGGGTGAGTAGCAGGCAGCAGGTGATTTGGGAAGATATTTTGGGAATTTAATTGGGTTAAAGCCAACTGTAGTCCCTCTACTCTTAATTTTTATTCATGTCCATCCCTATACTAAGAATTTGTTCGTTGTCATCCCTCTACTTTCCAAAAGCACTAAATGTCATCCCTGTACTCCCCTTATTTTGTCTATTGTCAACCTTTTAGCCGTCTATTTGGACCGTTTAATCCACAAACGGTCAATGGTCAACTGTTGAAGCATTTCTTGGAATTTTATTATTCCAAGTGTGTTGC